CAAGCAAACAACCCATTAAAATCCGTCGATTATAGCGTAGAGCTATAACTTGAATGTTATGTTTGAGTTCTTACAACTTCATGTCTGATCACTAGTGAAAATATCTCAACTCAACATTTGTAATTCAGAAAAATATTACTATATGGAGGTCTAGCTTAGAACAACCGTTGATCCTATATTTACACATGTTTTACATGCAGAGTGACTTAATTGCTAACTTTAGTATATAGGGTCACTCTTTTCTGTGTTACCATTTTGTGCATACTTTCTGTAAAACCACTACTAGCCATCTCTATCTCAATTGATCACAGGCCTCCAGGCAGTCTCCACAGTCGACCTTGTGAGTTGGGATCTGATGATGACCTGCACTTATCATAAGACTCTGAATGAAGGAAATCATCTGCAAAACATGGAAGGATTTCCAAGAAAACGTCACGAATCGATGGATTGAGCAGTTAGTTAGGCCAGAAATTGGATTGATGCTAGCCATATAGTATCATGTATGTAATATGTTTACCGTCATGAAGCCAACACAGATATCCCTTAATTGCCGAAGGGCCTCCAAGCACACCTTAATGGCCGATCCTGACCATCCACTCCCCTGTTTCCAAATATCTAAACTCATATCAGCCTCATACTCGTGCCGAGGAATGTTTGTAAATTCATTCTCATACCCTAAGTTTTTGGGTATCCCTACCCGCCTTGTACATATAATTCAACATGTAGATATTCATTTATAACACTAACAAACCTATTAAGTCATGAAATCAATAAAGACACAATCTTTCGAAATACGAATTCAAAGCATCCAATTCTAAACATCTATAAAACAAAATGCAATACTATTTGAATTAATTATTCATCTTCGACTCCAACACATCTATCTGAATCATTTACATTAGCATGGCTAATATTATCTTATTAACAAAGGGAAAGAATGAAGGGTGAAATTAAGGGGAATCTATAAAATATATGAAGCATATTCATGACTCCAAATTGCAGGGATTCAAAAAAGCTGGCTTCTGAGAGCTTCACGGAATGGCATTTTAGTCTTTTCCTGCCCCTGCATATTTAATGAAGTGCTGCGTTTTGTATCTTTCAAGTTGAGGGCTCCTTCCATTTGAGACCAACGGGGCATGGAGTAACTAAATTGGGCCTAAAATGGGCCACTATGACAGCAGGTGAAGAATTCGTCCTTGGATCCAAGTGTGAAAGCCTGCCTGCCAGCAAATCTTAGTTTATAATTTACGAGGTTGCGAGAAAGGAGATATAGTAATTATTACGTTACTAAACTTTGTTAAACAATAATAACAATTTAATCAAAATTCAGCTCCTCCCATAATTCACTTCCCAAACTTGAAAAAAAAAATTCAAGAAGATACTTAAACAATACTAAATACACCGTTTTATACCAAACAAAAAAAAAAAACTGAACTCGCCCACTGAGTTCACCTTTCTCGACTCAGTGAGCCAACGAGTTAGCACCCTAGCTAATCTGACCACAACAATTCCTCCGACGATCTCAACCACGGAGCAAAGGCCTCGAGTCTCCGACAAACTCCACGCTGTTGCTGTTCCTCCGAACAACACAGGAGTGAGCGCACCACTGAATCTCCTCCAGATGCAAAAACCTCCTGATCGAATCGGATCTCGACACCAATTTCAAAATCTCCTCGAACTCCATCTCCTCGCAGGGGATCCGCAGCGGGCCGGCGTTGGTGAAACCGAACTCCTCCTCCGCATGCGCCAGGACGCGCCTGAAGATCGGATGGTTGATGTGAGTCGCCCGGACGACGAATCTCCGGCAGCTCGCCCCGACGCAGACGGCCAGGTGCCCGGCAGGGACGTCGCCGCGGCGGCTCTCGACGGCGACGAGTTCGAGGAGGAGGAAGCCGAGGAGGCGTTGGCTCGGGCCTTCCTCCGCCATTGTTTGAGCATCTGCTGGATTCTGACGATGTGGCGGATTTTGTTGGATTTCGGCATTGGAATTCGGAGGGAGACGAGAGAGAGAAGAAGGTAAATTTAATCATTTATGTATTGCTTTTGGTATGGGGTTACAGCTTGAATTTTAGCCTGCGGTACCAAAGAATCAATGACTCCTTACATTTTGCATGGCCTTGAACTTGAATGTTGGAAATTTAATCCAAAAGAGTTAGAATGGATCAATAGCTGCGGCTCAAAGCCCAGATGACAGAGTGTATATATATATAGATGAATCTTTTCATCTTCTACCCTGTGGTCAGTTCAACTGGCATTCTCTCAATTCTCATTTAGCTTCCGTCTCCTCATTCCTGATAACTTCAAGCTTCCCAACAACTTATGACAACGCTGAATATTTGTCAGGTTTGATGTCTCAACCATACTCATCACTTCTTATTGGTTAGATTTAGCTATCCATCTAGAACTGATGGTTCACTGTCATTTTCTTTTCTTTTACACGACCACACAAAGTGTGTACGTCAATGTCTACCACCACAAATTGTTGAAAATGCTATTACCACAGAGTAGAACTATTACTCCTAAAAATGATCTCCCTCAATTATCAATGTTGCATTGTTATGTCCTTTGCATAAGACCACAGTATGCGTACTGATATGTACCAATCAGTGAGCATGTTATCTATATATTACCAAAGAGTAGAATTGTTATGTCTATTATTGATGCTCCCCAATTTTAATTTTTAACCGGTCATTTCGTATCACAGATTTGGTGGCTGAAATTTACCATTCTCAACCACTATCCAAACTTGAACAAGGTGTTTTCTAAATAAGGACGTAGAATGTGCTTCCAAAATTACTTAAGTAAATACTCTAATTGACACTTTCATTTTAATTTCAATTATTTTATATTTTAACTACGACTTAAAAATTACTACTTCCAAATTTACAGGGGATCTTTCATCAAAGTTGCATTGAAGGACTCCTTGGTTGATCAATTTGAAACGGTAATTCCAAATCAACCAGATATGGTTTATGCAATCACTTTAGTACACGGAAAAATTACATGGTAATTGCATTTTTGCCAATTCAACTAGGTTACCATGCATCATATATTTTAGAAAACATATCTAACATAAAATCATACATTCTCATTATAGATCTAACAGGTCGTTCGTTGCATGCCAAACATCAAAGTTATACTTGAACTTAAATTGCTCCCAATTGCATGCACCCATTACTAAACCGGGTTGTTGATGTTGTTTTAATGTATGTTACTCAAAAGAAAATTGCTTATATGAACAATACCACCTCACATCGATATTTTTTTCTCAGATTCAGAGTAATCAAACACAAGATAAAAGATGAATACTTCTATGAAGATGCCAAACGATTTGCCCAATTTCACTCACTTGAGGAATTACATTCATGTCAATTATCCCTATCGAATCAAGTAACAATATCCATAGAACTAACTTAGAGGAAAACTGAATAGGAGATGGTTTTTTTCTTCTCTTGCCTTTCCATTCTCTATGGTTGGGTTTCCTCTTTAATTTGTGTGACCTAGAGGACAGTGAAACTTGCTCAATAAGCCTCTTTTGGTTTTGAGTTTAGGGTGAGGTGAGGTGAGCTGAGAGAGAGAAGCAGAGGGTGTTTGAATGTGTCTATATGTGTCAGTTTGTCTATGGAGTCTTACTTTGATCGGCCTCCACCAATTATTTTTCATTATCAGATAATATAAATTCTATATTGAGTTATGATGCCCAAACATGATAGACTTGAGTAGAGCAGGATTTACACTTGCACCAAAAGTTTCCACCCACTTTTGCTTATTGTAGGGTGGATCGAGTTCGGTCAGTTCGGTTATAACCAATAACCGCATGGTCGGTTATCTATTAAACCGAACCATCTCCCACACCTACCGACCAAAAGAGGCCTTAAGGCTTCGGTTATCTCGATTTTCGGTTAATCGAACTACCCTCAAAACCAAAATCATCTCCGCCATCCCTTCGAATATTGATCGATTTTCGGTTAGCAGATAACCGGCCGATTTCAATTGTAACTGGTCAGTTAACTACTAACTGCTAACCGATTGTCCAGCCCTATCTGATTGAGTAACAATTTACTTACTTACTAGATGTGACTGGTTATTATGTGGTTATCTGCAGGGAAACAATTATGTGGTTGTTGCACATATCTAGAGCTACTCTCATTTGAACGCCAACGGAAACTCACTAAATTGTCCAACTTATTATTTCTAACCAATTCTGTACCTATAATTCGCTGTGTGATCAACAAGAAACATGACTAATAAGGAAAATGTTTGATTAACTCTTTAACTTCCATCAAATTGAGGATAAGTATTTTCAAATGAAAGGCAATTACTTAAATTCATTCCTTTATTTCCACTGAAAAATTAAAATTATTTCTTAGATTTTATTTTTTTATTTTTTTATATATTGTAAGCGAATTATATATAATTCAACCATTTGCATATCTAAATACAAAAACACACATTCTCCGCCTAAATTCTCAGGCTAAATTTTCCCGACCAACGGGTCGGGCCCTGCGCTAGTAAATTAAGGTTTGGGTTAGGTGGCCACTCAATTACATTACAACTTTTTATTTTTATTTTCAAATTATCATTTCTATCATTAGCAGGTCACAATTTGATCCATATATATTTTATATGTGGACAAATATTCTTGATGAAGCGGGCTTGGATGTGGGGCCGCGGGGAGGATAATAAAACCATACTTGTCCTATCCCCATCAAACTTGCGGGTTTTACCGATACTCGCCCCATTCCCAATTAACTTGAGAATTTTTCGTGTTGACTGGATCGTTAGCGGTCGAGTAGCCATAATGGTGGATTTGACTAACATCCGTGCTTATGATCCTCGTGCATAATGGGACCTTGAAGTGTTTGAGTAGACAAAATTTTGAATCAAGAGGTTTTTCAGTACTCTTTCATTAAAGGATCTTTCAACAAATCGATACATAAAAAAGGAAATTCTAATTTAGCTGGAGCGGAAAACATGGAATATGTAAATCGTACACACAGTGAACTTTTTATTCTTATATATATTATATAGTGGTTTTAATAACCCGAACTTACAACAGAAAGCCACATAGACAACCACAACAAAAAGGAAATTACAGTCACATGCTGCCGGAGTGAGTATCGACGGCATGCTTCACTTATTATCACATACTATATATATATATACACGTTATTTCCATTATGCATGAAAATAACTTTGAGAAAATAAAAGCACAACACATAAATCACTGCATGCATGCAGGGAAGACGTCATATTTCAAACTTTTCGACTTGTGTCTTTTTTCAAGGGTTCTCAGCTTCGACCCTCTTGCCGAAGACAATAATGGAAGGAATGAGAATGCCGTCGGCATCGCCGCCAGCCGAGTCCACTCCTTCGTCCTTCTTGCCGAAGATAAGAAAGGGAGGAGCCGTGACGGAGGCATCGCCGCCAGCCGAGCCCACTCCTTCGTCCTTCTTGCCGAAGATAAGAAAGGGAGGAGCCGCCCAGGTGGCATCGCCGCCAGCCGAGCCCACTCCTTCGTCCTTCTTGCCGAAGATAAGAAAGGGAGGAGCCGCCCAGGTGGCATCGCCGCCAGCCGAGCCCACTCCTCCCTTTCTTGTCGCATCGCCGCCAGCCGACTCCACTGAAGCAGCCTTGGTGGTAGAGACAGCAAAAGGAACGGTGGAGGATTTGTGGCAGGAGACATAATAATGTTTGGGCGATTTCGGGCAAGTGTTAGTAGTAGTGCGGCCCAAGGCAACAATACGATTAAGGCTACGAGCAGTAGTCGCGGCGGTCGGAGGGACGGCGGCGATCATTGTGAAAGTGGACAGAGAAGAAGCCATTAGATATGGTTGTTGTATATATGCTCTCTGGTGTGCTTTGATGTGTATGAAGTGAGCTCTCTCCCAAGGGAAAGAATATAATGCGGTATTTATAGATGTGAATGCGATCAGGCCAGCTGCCTGCAACGACGTCGTCCTTCACCGGCAGCACTCTCTCGTTCCATTTTTCAGAAAGCCAGGGCCAAACTACTACCGGGGCATGGGCCTGGGCCTGGGCCTGAGCATTAAAACCAGATGGGCCTCATTCATTTCTCCGTTCCCACTTCCCATCCCGTCTACTGCTTACCTTCAATTATTATACTATTACCAACAATGCATCCAACCAATAATACACTCTCCAACCACCACGAAGAAGGCAAGTGGTTGGATGCTACCTAAAGGGAAGTGGGAGCCGGGAAAATGAATGTGGAAAAAAAGAAGCATTGCTTTGTCATTATAGGTGAGTGAAAGTAATATTATTCACGACTCGATAGAGAGTTATAGACTTTGACATATGACTATCAATTTATTGTTTCCGGCCCCTCGACTCCAACCACCACGAAGAAGGCAAGTGGGATTAGGGATGGCAATAAAACCCGAACCCACGGGTACCCACCCGACCCAACCCGGATAAAATCCGTGTTGACGGGTTTTGGACTGGGTTTGAATTTAAACCCGTTCACTATTCACCGGGTTGGGTTGGGTTTGGGTTTAGGTAAACCCGACCCATGGGTACCCGCCCACACTCATATAATTAATTTTCTCGGCATATTTAATATTCTAAACAACTAATCTTATTTATGTTTGTGGAGACATGTCTAATTTTTTCCTTCTAGTTGTGTAGAATGAATTTGATGTTATCGAGTGGAGATTGAAAAACTTAATTGAAAGGAAGAAGCTGTCAATTAATCATGTTGTTTATGGATAATTTGTGATTTGCTTCAATTTTCTTGAGTTTTTTAGATTGGTGTTGAACAATTTTATAGTTAATTTGTGATTTGTTTGAATTTTCTAGAATAGTGTTTTATATATGGATAATTTGTATTGAGAGATTGATATTTGACGTTAATTTTGATAGGAACTTGTTATTGTGAATTTTTTACAACAAAAACCCGTGGGTACCCATGAACCCGCGGATACCCAACGGGTTGGTTTGGGTTTGAGTTTTTCAAACCCAGTGGGTTTTACCCCGAGTTTTTTTCACGGATAAACCCATGGGTTTGGGTTTGGGTTTGGCAAAACCCGACCCAACCCAACCCATTGCCATCCCTAAGTGGGATGCCGTCGGCACTCTGTCCTCTACCACTCGATAATATACTCTCCTTTAATTACACTAGTACAATAATGCAACCTACCTATAGTAAAAAAAATCAATGAGAGGATCTCGTGCCTCCTCGTCAGTGGCGTAGCCAGGATTCGAGCTCAGTGGGGTTCCATTTACAAAAATTCTATAATATTGTATTCAATTATCAAGTAAATTATCTTAAAAAAATTTAGTCAACTAAGCATTCATCGAATCATCGGTTATTAGATTTGTATCTTACATTTTGTGAAACTCATATTTGAAAAGTGACATTTCGATAACTAGTTAAAGAAGTAGTTCTCAAGTAAAATCTAACACACAATTGTATAATTTGTATTATAAAGTACATTTGATGAGAAATAAATTGTATCTTAGTAGAATAAAATTGTTGAATTAAAAGCTTTTTAGATATATCCAGAGGTTTTTGCATATATTTAGTATAATTAGACATTTATTTAATAGATCATTATAAAATGAAGAATTTTTAATGTTATCTTACTAATATAGCCTAATTTATTTACATGTCTCATAATACCATGACAATAAAGTTTCATATGAATGGAGTCCTGAATTCCGAACGTAGCCTAATTAAATAAGCATATACACATATATAACCACTCGTCTCCACTCCCTCCGCCACTGTGCCTCGTAATTTGTAGTATTTTCTATTTTGTTGGCATAGAAATTTGAATTAATAGTAACCAGGTATACCCTTAAATATCTCTACGTCCATACCAAAGTATAATTCATTGGATCCCGCTTGCTTGAACTTAATTTTCAGCAAGCTCATTCGATGTATGTACCAGGCCGAGATTGATTCCATGAACCTGTAGAATGAACAAATTGACGAAGTCGTATTCTCAATTTTCTCACTATTAAAGATGAAACATTTTAAGGAACCACCACTACTCAACCATCTTCCGTCCATGCTCCTTCTACCAATATCACTGGCTTTTATGTAGGGCTGGCATTTCGGTTTGCGGTTAGCGGGTAACCGCCGGTTTTAACCGAAAACTGCCGGTTACCAGCTAACCGAAAACCGACCGGTTACCTTGACGATCGGTGGTCGGATGGGAAAAGGAAGGGGTCGGTTGACCGAGTAACCGACGGTGATTAACCGCGATTATCCGACTAACCGGGCCAACCGAGACCCACTTCACCTTCCCCAAAATATGTCCAGATTCATCCCATTCCCAAATCTTAAATAAAAAAAAATCCCAAATACAGGAAGAAGAAGAAGAAGAAGCAGCAGATCTCGACCAAAAAAAAAAAAAAGAAGCAGCAGATCTACACTCGCTGCCGATTCTTGTTTCCGCCGCCATCCTCTTCTCCACAACCTCCGACTCCCCAGCGGAATCCACCACTCCTTGCAGCCTCTCCCTTTTCGCGCAGCCTCCACCCACCAGCAGGCAGCAGCAGCTTCGCCGGCGGTGACCTCTTCTTCTCCTCTCACCCGCGAACAAAACCCAAAAGAAATAACACAGATCAAAAACAAAAACCAAAATCAAACCCTCAAAATTCGACATGCAAGTGAGAGAACTTGATCTCACCTTCTTCTACCGTCGCCTACCGTTCGTCATCGTAATCACCGCCAGTTTCATCCGTCGCCGCCGCCGCAGCTTCATCCGCCGCCGCCTCAATCCGTCGCCGCCGCTTCTGGGTAAGACGAGGGAGAGCGAGAAAGAGCAGAGAGAGGGAGAGAGAGAGAGAGAGAGGCCGAGTTCCTCTGGAAAGGAAGAAGAAGAAGAGAGAGAGAGTAGGGAGGAGGCGGGTTTCTCTGGAAAGGACAGATCGAGAAATGGAGTAGGAGGCGCGGGGAGAAGCAGATCGCGAGAGAGAGAGACGAAAGTGAGAAGGGGATTCGTATTTAGGATTAGATTTTTGTTCAATTGTCAAAGTTGGGAGGCTGGAGGTCGATTTTTGAGAGAAGAAGAACAAGAGTGGAGGCGATTTGAGAGAGGGAGAGAGCTAGGTTTTGTTTCGTTTTTCTTCTTTTCGTTTTTGCTTTTCTGGTTCGTGTTTTCCTGGAGAAGAAGATTAGAGGACGAGAGAGAGTGAGGAAGAAGAAGAAGAGAGAGAGTAGGGAGAGAGGCGGATTTCTCTAGAAAGTGGAAAGGAAAGAAGAATCGAGAAGTGAGATGGGGTTAGGAGTGAGTGGTGCATAAATTTTGTTTTTTTAAATTTTTTTTTTCTTTTTTTTTAAGAAAAGGTTGTTTTCCGGTTGGCCGACTAACCGAGCCTAAAACCAAAACCGATCGGTCGGTTGGCCGGCTAACCGTGACCAATCTCACGGTCGATGGTCGGTAGCTAGGGGAGATATTTCGGTTTAACCGATAACCGGGTTTTCGGTTTTCGGTTAAACCGAAACCGATCGTCTGCCACCCCTACTTTTATGGTCAAAAGAGGCCAAACAAGTCGGATAAAATGGATCAGGCCGGAAGGGTACTTGGGAGTTGGGAAGGCAGAAGGCTAGAAGCATTCACTATGAAAACAGTTTTGGCAATCTATTCAACCTAGAGGCAGTAAAGTAGAATGGTATGCAACAGTACTATGGGAAAAGTAACACTGAACTGACTTATGCAGATCAAACAAGAGGTGGCCCATTATTGTCAAGACAATCCTGAGTTCAGTCAAGTATTAACAAAAGTTGCCTTGTGTATTCTTTAAACTTGAGATCGAGTCCAAGTTAGCTTTATACTGTATATTAAGTTAATCTGTAGTTGTGCAGCTATATAGTGGTGTAATGAAACATTGTGCAACAATACTACTCTTGTTGGCAGTTGTATTTTTTCGAAAAGCTTGGATTATCAAGCAAGAGCTTATAATAGATTACAAAAATATCGGGAGAAAAAGGATTATATCGAAATTGTCATTCTAATTATATATATATATCTCTAAATTTTTTTTATAAGGATATATCTCTCATTCTTTATGGTTATTTTAGGAGTACGGTAGGAATTTTGTACATGTTGCTTTGATTAACTTCAAATCTGAAAATGAGGAGATCAATCATCACGTCTAGGAATTTGTATAGTGTTTTTTATAGTTGCGTTTAGTAGAAAAGGTTTGAGTAAATATAATTTATTATTCAAAATTTGCAAACTTTTCAAATTATTCATCAAACCTTTCAAAACACAAAATATTAGTCAAATGTTAACTTTCCGTTAGCAATCTCATTAGTAAAATTGACTTGTGAACATGATCCTGACTTGAATAGCTAGAGAGATACATGAATGGCAACATTCTAAAATTTTAGCATATCACTAAGGAAAGAGTTACAAAATTACTAGTGGTAGCTGGGAATAGTTTTTTTTTAAGCATGAAAATCAGAATGTAACCTGCAGCCGGAAAGTGATCGAAAATCTGGATTGTCGAATCACCCGGGGAATCTCCGGCGTTATTGGTTTCCCGCGGTCGAGATTCTGATCGTCCTTGAACGTGCTGATCCCTCTCTGCCGGAGCGCGTTGTAGAGATGGCTGACGAAGCCGTGCCGAGTGTCGGCACCTCTGAAGCTCAGGAAGACGTCGTAGAGGAATAGATCGACGGGAGAGACGGCAGTTGAGGAGGGTTCACAGGCGGCGTGGAAGGACATGGTGACACTGGGGAAGTACTAGCTAGGATGCTCTACTGATTCAACGATACCGGGCGGCAGATGGAAGGGGTTCAGGGATTCAACGTCAACCATCTCAAACCGATATTTGAAGCTCTCTTTTCCTCTTTGTATTGACAAGAAGTAAATTACTTATCACGCATGAGCCCGATATGAATCTGATGTCGATGAATTGAATGGAGAATGGAGGAAGCAGAGTACTGCAATTAGGGAAGAAATGGAGGGATTGAGAAAGGAAGAAGAAGGTATGAATCTGATGCCCGATATGAATCTGATTGGCATGAAAGCTTCGCATGTATGACCTCCGCCCCCGGCCGGATTTGTTTGCCGGTGATTGGATTTCATTCCGCCGGCGAATTTTCTAATATTCCTTTAATTGAGGTAACTGCCCCGAAATCATAGTCTTTTCCCATTTGAATTCAATATTAAATGCACAATTATGTTTCTGTCCGCAGGCATTAAATTCAGTCTTATTCCATTCCATTATTTGTGGTTACTTATCTTCAAATTAGCTCAACGGGTTGACCTTCCGTCAAACAATTTTATTTGCTTTCATCAATAATTTAACTTCTATGATTAATTTGTTAATTAATGCTTAATTCCATTAAATGTGGGCATCCGACGGCAACTCCTAATAAGGTACATCTAGGTATTTCACTTTCGGGAATTTATAAATTTCTTTGCTAATTATTTGTAATTTCTTTATTCATGTTATACTCACTTTGCTTCCTGTATGATCACCATGTGGTCTATTATTTTGTTAACTTCTTTCCCAATTTATTGACATTGAATTCGTTTAAAATTGCAATTTTCCTCCCAAATTTAAGAGATCAAGGTAATCTTTGGATTTAAACGGTTTTCGAATCGGTTACAAAGTTTTATGATCATTTAATACAATAATTATTGGATTTGGTAATCACTTTTTTCTCAAGTCGGTTACAAGGCTTTATGGCCAGAAACGGCTAGCGCCGGAGAAGCCTTAATTGTGCTTTAAATCGTCTCCTTAATGACGAGCTAGAGTGTTTTAAAACTCTAATAAAGAGAGCCTTTCAAGGTTGTTGCTTTCGCCAGCATAATGGGACGTATTCAAAGGGCTTCCGCAAATAAATATGCTCTCAAGGCCCTAATTAATGCAATCATCCAACAATTTGATACTAGAACAGATTGGCCAGCAATGGATTGCTCGAAATTCCCATTTGGAAAAAGACTTGGAATATCCAAGTCCCGCCTAAGCGCAAATTTTTCATTTGGCAATGCCTCAAACTCGTGGAGTCAACTGTCTCAACCGATGGCCTGTCTCAACCGATAGCCAATCCTTATCTGGCAGAGCTTCTAGCTTTTAGAGTCGCTATCTCCATCGTATCCTCAAGATCCTTGACCCACGTGTTAGTCGAAGGTGATTCCGAGGTGGTGGTCATCCAATTGCGTCAAGGCGTCATTGAAGAATCGATTGGAGGTCCGGTGCTACGAGACCGAGAGTGTCTTCAGATCCTTAGCTCTTGTCTGTTTGTATAGAGTTTAGGGCGGTACCTAGATCCGCCAACAGTGCTGCCCATAGAGTGGCGCGTAAAGCACTGCTTTTGTCTCGTGTAGAGCTAGAATATTTTAATTTTTTGGGGTGGCTTCTTTAGATTCTGTTAGGGTCCTGGGTAGAATTGTAAGTTTAACTATTTTCTTCCATTGATATCACTCAGAAATAAAAAAAAACAAACAGATGACTAATAATTTAATGCGTTACAAAAGATAAGGCTAATGTTTTGTATTTCAAAAAAAATTTGACTAATAATTTAAAAAAAGTTGATTAATAAATTGTATTTACGAAAGAATTTCTTCGACTTGAGCTTCGGACCTATAAAGTTCGATGCCAAGAAAGGGTTTGGAACATTACACAATCCAAACGGACTAAAGGCCAAATGGGGTGAGCCTGGGCCAATGCACTTTTTAACATAGTGATAAACAGGCCTAGAGAACTGGGCTAATAACAGAAAACAAGCTGAAGAACATCGCAAGTGGAAGCAGGAGGGAAGCACAAAATATTAAACCGACAACAAAATTGCTCTAACGAAACACGTGCGTAATCCGAACCTCCCAATCTAGTTGCAGTAGTTATCTAGCCACAATCGTGCTATATATGCGGACTGGAAATGGGAGCCGAGTCGAGTAAGCTGCACTGCCCTAGCTCAATCAGTTTGTACCACGAACCTGGGGGTTTGGGCATGGCCCATTGGAGCATCATTTATATTATATAAACGAAATTCCAATTGGAATAAAAACCTAATCGAATTTATTTTCTTGCTATGCCGCCTATTCGATTGTTTGCTCAGCAATCCTGAAATTTAATTTTTTATACAAAGTATATATTACCAATTCCACCACGATATACATGCAAGTTAATTATCTCTGCCCACCAATCAAAACATTGATGCGGGGTTTTGTAAACGCGGATTTTATACTGAAACGGTACTTTAACTATTGTTTTATATTGCTAAAAACCATATACCTGATTAAATCCCAATAAAAAAAAAAAGAAATTTAGCTCGGACTACGGATACGATACTGTTTTGCAAATTCGGATTAAATCAAAAAATTCTCTACTATTGACTTATTCTATACAACCTCCGTGAATTATATTATAATTTCGCTGGAGCGGAAAAGAAGTAATATGTATATATATTCTTATATAGTATATAGTGGTTTTAATAAAACAACCTTACAACAGAAAGCCAGACAACCACAACAAAAAGGAAATTACAGTCAACCTTATAACAGAAAGCCAGACAACCACAACAGAAAGGAAATTACCGTCAATGCTGCCGGAGGGAGTATCGGCGGCAGACTTCACTTCTTATCACATACTATATATATATATATGGTGGCGTATTCGGTGCACTCACTTTTTTGGGTGCATTCAGTGCACTCGCTTCTTAACCGTTATTTTAAATATGTGATTTATGTCAAAATGATGCCAATCATCACTTATGATGTGATGAACAATAACACACATGAAATTGCATAAAAATCATTAAAGATTTACTTTAATTTGAAGGATTTAGAGTTTAGAGATTTAGGGTTAGGGTTAGGGTTTACAATTTGGGGTTTAGGGATTGAACTCAAAATTGGAGGTCTAGGGCTTAGGATAATCCACTAATTAGTTGTTGTCATATGTTATATCATCATATTACACTAATTCTACAAATTAAAATTCAAAATCCAACACCTTAAGACTAGTTTTTGAGTTGGGTGCATTGAACGCACTCATTTTTGTGAGTGCACCGAAGTAGTCACCATATATATATATATATGGTGAATTGGTGATGACTGGTGTACATCAGGCGTATAGTATACGTCAGGTGATCTAGCCATTAGATGTGGTTAGATGAGCTTCGGCCGATCTCAACGGTCAATTTTTGTTTTTCATTAAATCAAACTTCGGGTTAGGGTTTAGAAAATCGGTGCCTGGGGTTTATCCATTAGAAGTTAGGGTATAATATCATACCCCAAATTCGATTAAATTAATGGTCTAGATAGAGATATCTCACTAGTAGTACCTGACGTATAGTATACGCCTGACGTACACCAATCTAATATATATATATATATATATATATATATATATATATATATATATTATTTTCATTATGCATGAAAATAACTTCGAGAAAATAAAAGCACAACACACAAATCACTATATGCATGCAGGGAACACACCATATTCAAACTTTTCAACTTGTCTCTTTCAAAGATTCTCAGCTTCGACCCTCTTGCCGAAGAAGGGACGAGTGACAAAGGTGTCGGCGTCGCCTTCGACAGAGTGCACGGCTTCGGCCCTCTTGCCAAAGAAGGGACGAGCGACAAAGGTGTCGGCGTCGGCGTCGGCAGAGTGCACGTCTTCGGCCCTGTTGCCGAAGAAGAGACGAGCGACAAAGGTGTCGTCGTCTCTGACTCTCCGTGTACAGAGTGCGACAAAGGTTGTGGGCCCAGGGGCCAGGCTCATGAAAGAGGTTGGCATAGATATTCCGAAGGGAATAAGCCAGATACGAATACTACAGGACCATAACAAGCCAAAGTTAAAAGGAAACGCTGAAATAAAATGAAACACTGAAACAACGATAAGAGGACTTGTTTTGCCACAATATGGGAAGTCCTAGATCGTCGCACGAAATAAAATGAGACACGTTAGAGAGATTTTCGCAACACCTAAACCTCTTGCGTAACTCCGACGAAACCAATCGCACCGCCGACGGCTTGCTTAGTGGCTCCATCAAAGTGAACTAGGAAAGGATCATCAGGTATACTTGGCGGCATGGAGGAGCGGCCCGGAGAATAATAACTAAGGATCTCATTGTTTGATTAGTTTATCTACCTGTGGTTTATGAAACCTTACTACTTCAATCACTAATATTAAACCATGTGGGGGCTTGATCGAGCTTGGCCTATGGGAACGTCATGAACTCATGATGGGCCTGAAACTCGATAAGATCAAGCACGATCCATTATGCCTCCGTTGCTCTTTAGCCCTTCCAAAATTAGTCCGTGTTTGCAAAAAAAAAAAAAAAAAAATCGTATTGTGCTGGCCCTTCGACCCGAACAAATTGCTTATTATAGTCTAACCTTGTAAATAGTTTTAGCAGTATTAAATGGTTCAATCACGATTTCAGTAGGGAAAAAAAAACATTTTATATAAGGTTGTGTCAGAAAAGTTAGTGAATTAGATATTTATGTTGAAATCATAGTTCAACCGTTTCTTATCGCTAAAAATTCACCTACCGATTTTTAGAATCCGTTATGAGGTTATTCGATGTAACCACGGATACGATACAATTTGACAAACAATAACTTTCGAATACAATCTCCGATACTATTTTACAGTCACGTAGTTCTCTTTTTTCAATAATCAATAATAATAATAAGAGTTAAATGACTAATAAACTATTAGGTGCTTTCTATTGAAGTCCCTGAACTATTATTTTTCATATGGTAGC